CGGTCGCTTACCAGGGAATGCAGTCTGGATAAAAGGGTGGACATAATCCCCTAGAATGCTTAGATAGTGATCCTCCCATGCAGAATAACAAGTGGCCCAAGACCACGCCAAAATATCGCACCCCATACCATAATGGCACACCCCCATGCTTCACAGTCGGCAAGAGGAAGTCAGGATGAAACGCTTCTTTGGGCATTCTCCAGACATAAACGCTTCTGGTCATCTGAATTAGGGCAAATGACAATTTATCTGACCATATTTCCTGTTGCCACTGCTGCGGCGGCCAGCCTTTATGATCTTTGCACCACTGGCATCACTTGAAGGCATTAGTTGCTGTCACCAAAGGTGTACGAATTGCCACTCTGCCATAAATGTTCGCAGCATGAAGTTCCCTTTTGACTGTTTTTGTTGAAACAGAGTCCTGGAGATGACTATTCATTTTGGATGTTATATCAGATAAAGATTGCTTGTGCTTTGGGGCTACTACGCGCTTCAAGACTCGCCTATCCCTATCAGCCAACTTTGACTTTCGCCCACTGTTGTGCTTTGAAGATGTCGTTTTCCCCTCTTTCGTGTATACTGGCATAACGGCTGATACCCTTCTCCTTGCACCCCCCCCACAAAGTTTGCTCTTTCCATAACCGATGCTCCACTTAAACACACCCCAACTATCATTCCTCTTTGGAACTCTGACAGGTCTGACATTTCAACTTCTCACAGGCAGTTCGATCGAAGCATGCAACGCAGGTGACTGCTGTTGAGAGACTGACACCTTCCTCTTCATGCTCACTAGATGGCAAACTTCTGTTGCAGGTGTGAAATATGTCATACTTTTTCACAGGTGTTCCCATTATTTTGTCCTTCATCTGTACCTCGTCCATTCATTCCTGAATCTTTTCGCTATAACGTTTTTCCAGCAGATTTACTGTCTTTCTCATGCTGGTATTTCAACCTCAACAAAACTAATCGCTAAGCGATATTTTTAGCCTAATATGAAGAAATTTATTAAAATTGCTGTTTAAGCTTGCCTACAGTGTCAATGTTCTAAAATTCATAGACATTCAAAATCACCTTTGGCTACTTTTTCTTTGCTTGATGCAAGATTTACTCATATCCATATTGATTTTATAAGTCCTCTTCCACCATCTGAAGGTAACCTTTATTGCATGACAATTATTGACAGGTTTACCAGATGTCCAGAAGTTATACCTACTGCCGACAAGTCAGCTCAAACTACTTGTGAAGTATAACTGGATAACTAGAATAATGTATAACTGGATAGCTAGAATAGGCTGTATGGTATCAATAACAAATGATCAAGGTAAGAATTTTCAATTTCATTTATTTAAGAATTTAATGAAGATTTTTGGTACACATCGCATTAGAACTACTGCTTATCATTCTTAGTCTAATGGGCTAATTGAGAGATTTCATAGGCAACTTAAAAGTTCAATAATGGCTCATAACAATCTAAAATGGTCCGGAATTCTGCCTATAGTTCTATTGGGTATCAGATCTGCCATTAAAAAAGATATAAATGCTACTTGTGCTGAACTTATTTACGGTACAACACTCAGATTATCCTCAGATATGCTGAATGTTATTAACTTTGTACCTCCTTCTGAATCTTATGTGTCACAGCTTCGATCAGTCATGCATTCAGTTAGACCAATTCTAAACTCTAAATATGTTCAACCATCAATTTATGTATACCCAGCACTTCAAACCTGTTCTCATATATTTCTGCATATCGATTCTATTAAACCTCCTCTAACTCCACCTTACACTGGTCCTCATGCCATTGTTAAATGAATAGACAAAAATTTTATTATTGAGGTAAATAACAAAAAGACCACAGTTTCAATCGATCGCTTAAAACCAGCATATGTATTGTCAGAACCTATAGATTCACCTGTAATTCCTCAGATTTCACATAAAAAATTGTTCAAAAACAAGTAGTTACTAACAATGGACGTAGTGCTCATTTCCCTGATAAACTTATCACTGTAATACAATTAAAGTTTTTCTCTTGTGGTCTGCTGGAAAAAGTTATAGTACACACAAAGTCCAAAATCCGGACGTCCATTATCCGGAATGATCTAAAATCTGGGCCTCAAAGCCACAAACTTTATTTTTTGGTATGCTTTACGCATGCACATTTGATTTTTCCTTCCATAATGAAACATGCGGAGATTTTCACTTAAAAATTCCGATTCTTAATTTCACTTAGGCACTAAATAAAATACATCGTTATGAAAAACCAATCATGTAAGCATAAATTTGTGAGATTCACAATTTGGCTCCATAGCTGAGTGTCTGCTTGGCATTACATCTCAAACCGAAACATTCACTATTTTATATCCATGACGCCAACCTGGCGAGTCATTAGTTATTATATTTTGCTTTCATCACCACATGTTTATCAATACATGACAGCTTCAGTAGTAACTCATGCAGTGATGTCTAAACTTTTTTTTATATTAGTAATTGAATAACAAGAGTAAGGCAACTTTTTCTGCTAACTGCTTGCTGCTTGGCGATAATTATAGATTTTTTAAATGCTCTAAGAAATGTTGACGAGGAAAAATTCAATAAAAATTTCTTTTCATATGCTAAAAGTAGATTTTGTTAATGAAACTCATAGACTAAAAGATTACATTTAGTGCTATTTTAATTGAGAATAACTGATATGTTATTCACCATAAACCCAGAAGTGGCGGAAGAATATGGCCGCATCAGACGGCAGAATTTAGCGAAGACACAATTTTTGGAATTTGGAGAAGTACCGAGCAGCAAAATTAAGGGATGAGAAGTTTTTCATAATTTAGGGGGGAAAGCACTGGGATCCAAACTTTAGGCACGGCAAAAATTTAGAACTTAGGAAGGCCCTTTGTAGCAGAATTTAGAGACTGCACCCGGCAGTATCTAGCGCCAGCCCTAGATAAAGCCTTATGTATATGTGGGAGTTTATTTATTCAGGACTCAGATTAGTTTTAAGCATGTGCAAAAAATAAATTTAGGTATAGTAAATAACTAATACAGTTCAGGCTTAATTCAGTACGCAATAGGAGCAAGACAATATTTAGCAGAACAACTTGACTTTCATCGCCAATCTTGTGATACACAGCCAATAATGTATAACAGACGCTATTAAGCTAGGCTAAAATTATCTTAACTAATTCTAAGGTATTTCAGTTAATGTAGCGGACTGCGCTGCTCCTTAATCTTCTAATTTGATCCAGCTTATTATTTTTTGCAGACTGTTATTATTACAGCAAGTTCATAAAAATAAAGCTTGAACTTTTGATTACATCGAAAAGAGTATCCAGTTCTGGAGCTGCCAAAGGATCTACAAAACGAAACCATGTTTCGATGTCCATTAAACAAAAAGTGGAATTGCTGCAAAAAATGGATAAAGGCATATCCATCTCAAAATTATGTGAGGAGTATGGCACTGGAAAATCAACTGTCTATGACATACGAAAAAGGAACTTTTTGAATTTTTTATGTAAGCGACTTAAACAACTTACATTGAAAGAAATGTTTAATAAAGCAAACAAATATTAAGCTTTTTTTTTGTTGTAAATTTTGATACCCTTTATAATTGTTCTTTATTTCATAAATTATAATTTCATATTTTTAATTGTATAATTTCTGCATGCCATCTTACCAGATTTAAACTGATGATCTATTATCCGGAAAAATCCCAAACCCGAAATTGCCGAAGTCTCGACGAGTGTACGGATTTAGGACTTTGTACTGTGTGTATATATATATGTGTAAGAAAAATAAAGATTAAATTAGGATGTAAAAGATTAAAAGAAAATTAATTCCCTTCTGTTTTCTAAAAATAGTAACCTATTTGCACTGCGTCATTTTCAGAAAAATATAATTCTGATGATGTAAATGGAACTGAAACCCAAAATTTAACCAATTACAGTTTAGCTGTACTTTGTGCACCAATCTTGTATAAATAGCTAATAACTGCGTAGTTTCTATCTTTTTCGCCTCTTCGGCTGCGTGCTGACAGCTTGTCCCTCAGCCTCTACTAGCTATTCGTCATTATATAAAATGTAATTGCATAACTAAAGTTATGGGGCACGTTTAGCACCCCTAGTCTTCTACAGTTATGTATTAAGCCATTTGTCATTTCCAAGAATAAATGATGTTTAGTTATCAAGCTGGTCGTGCTTCTACAAATTCCATGCGATCATTCACTACAGCGTGATGTCCAGTCATCTACAAAACAGTTTTTCGGCCATGACTAAGTGAATTGTTTTCATCTTCCGCCAAAAAGTATGATTATTACATATATATACTCGATTAATTTCTTTTGCATACATTTGAGAGTTGCTCAAAATTCTTATTGTATTGTTATATGTTTCAATTATAATTTAAGTGTATTATTACTTGTATATTACTATTCATATATTTCGTATTTCTCCTTTTTTGCACATACATTTTAAAGTATAACTTTTATTTGAATGTATATATCTTAAATTGGAATTTTGCAATCAACCCATTTTGTATCATGACTGTGTCACTGGGGGGGATACTCTGAGAGTGAACATCTAAATGTCAAATTCATTTGTAAGTAGTAGAAATGAAGATAGCAACTAACTAATTAAAACCCATCTTGGAAATTATTCTCTAAATTAAGCTGCTTAAAAATATATAAAAAATATTAATAGCATTTTATTGTTAATCCTAATATGGGTAATTCCTCTTTCCTGTGGTTTTTTTAATTCTGTTGGATTAATAATTATTTTGATTAATCATAGATGTTGTCTTTGGTATTACCCCCTGTAAATGGGAGTCTAGTGTGTATAAAAAAGTCACTTAAGACAAATCTAAGGGGGGGGGGACTAAAGCACCTAAATTATTTAGTAATCCAATTTTTCTCTGTAAAACAGATCTTATTCAAAAAATATCCCAAATATCAACAGTGATTACTCAAGTTTTTAATTTTAAAAGAACTTTTAAATTTTAAAACAACTTACATAGGACACCTTCCAGAAATTTATAAAAGTCATCTGGAGCCAAAAGACGCATAAATGTTTTCATCTTATCAAGTATTGTTTTCCCCAGAATTGAGTACCTTTTCCAGTCTTCTAGATTGCGTTTCATGCTGATTAATCCATATGTCATAATAATCCACTTTTTTCGAGCTCGCTCCTTTAATCTTGATTGATAGATACTTAAAACTGCACTCTGCATTTCTGAAAAAGCATTTAATATCAAAATTCACATTAAAAAAAGGGGGGGACGACGTTAAAAAGAAGATTATCACATACATATATATATCAAATTACTCTTTCTTGTGTTGCTTTCAAATAATTAAACTATGTGCATTTATTCAACTCATATTCTAAGTAAAATTATACACTTTACAAGTAAGAAGACAATAACGTTTTGCGAAAAAAATCATATACAAACAGCTTTTATTATTCAGAATTTAAGTTCAAGATCAAAATGCAGTTAAAGAATGATATTTCTTTATAAATATTCATGTTTAATGGATCATGAGATTTCTTTTAAAGACAGTTAAAAATGCTCATTGCCCAGTCTTATGATTATCATTCGGGCACTCTGAGAAATAACCTACGTTTTAAAATTTTAGTCGCTCTGCCAATGGTTTGTTTCCAAAGAAAAAAATTGTACATATATTTATTTCTTGTAAAGTAGATATTAATTTAAGTTTATTTCTATTTGCTCCTATTGTGATATAATTTAGATAGTAAGTTAAGTAAAAGCTATTGTTTCACAACAGCAGTGAATTGGCTATTTATTACAGATCTGTTCTGTCTCACTATAATCACTGTTTTGTTGAGCATTGCAAATTTATATTATTTTAATGCCATAAAAAATAAAACTAAAGATTTCAGATTTTATAGTTATCCTCTGTTAAAAATCTTAGAAAATACATCAAGAAAAAGATCAGAAATATATTTTACACCATTTGAAATCACAGACAACACAGAGAGAGAATTCTATTAGTTTATAATTTAAATTTGTAGGATATTTTCAAAAGGTCAAATGACTCATTACTATGTCTTAATGTACAGTTTTAATTTTAATATAACCAAACAGTTTAAAACCTTTACTCAGAATTACATAACTTAATATTTGCAACAAAAATCACCCAAAATACTTGTTTTATAATAGTAATTAAAAGAGATAAAAGGCCAAATTAATTAAAAAGAATGACATTTCAGATATTGCAGAATTAATACCTTAATCATGGGATGGAAAAATTACACTTTTCTTAAATAAAAAGAATAAAGGAAGATTTTAGAGAATAAATTACAGTTGCATAAGTTACATAATTAGAGACAAAAACCTGTAATTAAGTAGCTTATAACAAAGTCACCTCTGCTGAAAAAGGAAAAGATGATACATTAATTTCCTCCTCAGGTGAATGCATTACTAAAGAAACTTCCCAAAGTGAAGTCCATTATTATATATGTAAGTCCACACAGGTGATTCATGGAATTTTTCAAACTTGAAAAAGGAGTCTTTTCAATCAGCCATTTTGTTAACTTGAATTTTTTAAAAGATATTACTTATTTTTATGGGAGTCTTCACAAACTGATCTGCATAGAATTCAGGGTATTTTCCTTCCCGGATTTTCATTAGGGCCTCTTATATTCCCATTTACTACTTAAAAAAAATTAGACCGATATAGATTTCACAGAAATGTGTAGAAATTTTCTAATCCCAGACTGACAGATTCAATACAAGAAATAAAATTTTAAAAGATTATTAAAATGCTTCTAAAGAAAAGTTTAATTTTTTTTTTCAGTAAAACTAATAAAAAGTTATAACTAATCAGACAGCCTCAAATAGAATTAATTAAGATGCCTTAAAAAGTGTTAAAAACACTAAGGAGAAAGTCTACAAATTTTACATTCAATTCATAAAAGTAAGATCACCAAACTTTTGCTTTCTCAACCAAACATGAAAATATTTTTAATACTTATGTTGCAATATAATTATTTTTTTAACATATATTTCTTTTGTATTATATGTCAACAGTGCCATATTTCTGAAGATAAAGGTTTTAGTGACAGAAAGTCTTACCATTCCAAAATGGATCATCCTTTTCGTAACTCAAATCCTTGATATCTAATTCAGCATAATCATCATATTCTGATGAAAAATCACCCCGAGCAGGCATATAACCAGCCATTTCTTGATACATAGCTGAACCAATGACTGGACGAGGTGGATCTTGAGAAAAAGCTAAAACAAAAATTATTCAGTATATTTTTAATTTTATTAAGCCAAATTTCAGCATAAGAGATAACATTCAAAACTCAGATTCTACTTTGGTTATCTCTAGCATTGTACTGTAATAGTTTTAGTACAGCTACGCCTGGTTTAGGTAATATTTATTTATATAAATCAGTTTCTTATTTTCATTTTGATAATAAGTATGAACTTAAAAAAAAGGGGGAAAACTCAGTTAAACATTAGTAAGTTAGGCATATTTTAAGAAAACTGTTTGAAAAAGAATGTATCATGACTTCAAAAATAGATAAAGTTAAATAATCAATTACAAAACTAGGCAACTTTCCTAAACAGATCTTAATCTTTGAGGGGGGGGCAATGTATATTTCAACAAATAATTTGAGGTAAGTCTGTTTCTCTTTAAGTAGAGCTGTATTCAGCATATTCTGTATTTAAAAATAAACACCAGTCAGCATATGGTACAACCTACCCAAGAAAATCACAAAGGAGGAAGAGAAGATAAAGAACAAAAGCAAAACACCATGCATGCTACAGTTAAAGACCCATAAAGGCCAAGCATTGGATATGTGAAAATTCCAGTTTAACATATTAACCTTCTGACCAGCACAGGTTTTTGCTAACAAAGCCCAAATTTTCCAAAACTACTGTGAGAAAGAGGTATTTCCTTCATTTTAATGGCAAACTGCCCCTAATACTTTATACCCAGATTTATGTATTTTTAATATACTGCCTTAATTTTTGGACATAGTTCATGATGCACATATATATACTTTCCTAAAACTGGCAGCAAAAGTATTTTAGATAAAAACAATATGGCACTATATATATATATATATAAAACCCTGCCAGTCAGAGAGTAAAAAAATGCAAATGAAGGTAGAAATGCCAAATGAAAGGAAAAATAAATTTCTGGTCTAAAATTATAAAAAGTGTCATTTGTTTTCAACTTGAACATCAAAAGCTTACATTTAAATTATGTGAAATTAAACAGAGAAAAAAAAAAAAAAAAAAAAAAAAAAAAAAAAAGGCGCAATTTAGACATAAAAGCCAATGTATTGTTATGAAAATAAAACATCTTATCCAATCACAAAATTCCGTCCACCACGAAAACTGGCAGAGATCACACCAATTTGCATCAAGCATTCTGGCTTAGTTAGGTAATCAATATATACAAGTTAACATAACATAAGTATAGGCTGCCCTGCCTCATGAACTTAATCACATTACAGGTCCACTCCCCCTTTGGGGCACATCATAGAGGTTCAAATTCCACTATTACTCCTTCAGAAGAGCGACGCACCACCTGGAAATATTTTAATCTCCAGGCAGCACTGGTCGTCAATTGCTACCTGCCAGTCGCTTAAGTTACAAATATGACATATAAAAAACTTAAATTGCTTGTCATAATTTTTCACTCTGCACAGCCAGTGTTTATCGATTTTCAAATACAGTGGCTTATCATGCCCATTAACATACAATTTTCTCGATGCCAGGATCTCATAATTTTTTAAATATATTACGTGCTGTTCCATTGAAAGCAGGTCCTAAGTTTCAATCACTTTTTTTTTTTTTCCAATATGCTACGGGAGGGAGGGGAAAAAAAAAAAAAAGCAGTTAACGTACTTTGTTCTTTACAAAAATTAAATCAACTTCTAAAATATTAATTGCATTTACATAAAACCAAGGTGAAAATATGATTATGTCATGCTTATCCAAAACTGATGGTAAATCACACAGTTTGGCAAAAGTTTTTATTAGCTCTGCATTGTAGTCAATGCAGAGCTTCACAAGTTTCTTATTTGCTGTGACAAGAAACAGCTTCACAAGTTTCTTATTGGCTTAATTTTTAGTCAATTTTGGTGCTTAATTTTTAATTTCTAAAATTTGAAAATACTGTTTCTGCTCTCATATTCCCCTCCTCTAACTTTGGAATTTTATAATACAAAAACTGAGAGGAGAAAATTATGCAATTAATTAATTTTCCAAAGAATACAGTAGCAGTAAGAACAAAACAAATGAAAAGTATTCATGAATAAACTATCGGCAACTATCACAATATTATTTATTTAAAAAAAAACCTGCATTCTAATAAGAATAATATTAATTTTGTAACATTTAATGATATATCTTCATTTCTACTTCTCTGTATCTTGAATCCAGTCCTTTCTTATTGTTGTTCACTGCTAATTCCTAGGCTTTAAATCATTTAATGCTGCTCGAAGTGCTGTCATATGCTACAGCTTGCAAGTTGTTGCAAATGCATTCAAATTCCATGAGTAAATCAATTAGCAAGATGAAAAAAAAAAAAAAAAATCGCTATGTGGGAAAATCCATTTTAAAGTTTAGATAAGCTCGCTTTCTGAACACCTTGAGAAAGGAAAAAAATAATGTGACTACTTAATACTCATGTAAATATACCTACTTTATCCACCCCTTTCTCTTGAATAAATATCAGAATCAATTTTTTTGAGCCTTAGATATATGCATTTTAATAACAGAGTCTGATTCTGACTGTCTTATTTATACTATTGCATAACCTTCTCAGATTTTGGGAGCATTCCTGCTGTAGTATATAAATTTCCACTATTATTTTCTAAAAATATGATGAACTCTGAAGCTAATAAATATTATTTTCAGAGGCATTTATATGGGAAAAAAAGAACATCTTAGAATCTGAAAAATGTATTTACAAGAGAAAAAAATCACAAGTTTTAGCATTTGTTTCTCACTAACTGTTATATAGGTACTATTGTCAATAAATACCATTATAAAAAATTGAATATTTTTCTGCCATACTTCAGCATTTTATTTTCATAGAATCAGTATCTTCCTCCTACTGAAAGTGATGAAATTAAGAGCTCAGTCTCACAGTTGCTGACATCTTAAATTCGTATCATGCTATGGAATGCATAAATTAACAGGACACTTCTCCTAGACCCGATTTGTAAAGTAAATTTTGATATGCAACGGTTTATTTTAAGATAAAAAATACTGCTTGTTATGGGTGGCTAAGCTAATCAAAGACAAGGTACATGAATGGCTAAGAGTTCTCTTCCGATTCCATTTGAATGTGGCTCACACTAATGATTGAAAACAAACATTAGCTTAAATCATATATAATCTAGTTACAAAGTAGAATTCTTGGAAATGATCCATTTGAAGGAGCACTGCATGAATTTGAATTTTAGTCTGATGCAGACCTTGAATCAAAAGAAATCTACAATATCTTTAAAATTGTGCTAAGGGAGAAAAATAAATTCCACTTCATCCATTTTTGGTATCCTGTCAACTGAGAAATGGTCATTAAGCAGTTTGTTTTCAAAGTTATGGAATTCTACCATCAAAGAAAGAATGCATTAATGGATACAATATAGTACTTTATTTGAAAACGGATTAAAAAATGGTAATGTAACATTCATAATTGCATTCCAGTTCATTTACAACTAGTTGAGAGAATTAATATATGTTAAATAGGGAAAAGAACAGCTGACTGGCCAACAAAACAGCAATAGATTGAAGCAATTACCCGCACAAGGTTAGTACTGATAGCGTTCTGTTGCGTATTGAAGTGAACTGAGGTTAGGGTAAAGTGACATCAGCTTCTAGAACGTATGAGAATCACAGGTAGTCTTTAGTTGGGAATGTGAAAGAATCTTAGTCATCGTGTCTGTTCTTGTATGCATTTCATGGACTTCAATAGAGTGTTTCATGTTTTATGGAATGACTTTTATACTCCCAGACTTTCCAAAACACTCTGCATTGTACAGATGCAACTCATGAATTAAATTTTGGCTTTTCGTTCTTAATGTAAGAAAGTGATACCCACTATCCATACAGTGGGATGGGTGTTTTTAAATCTAGCACTTTGAAGCTAGAATTATTTCCTGGAGTTGGATTTGAATGTATTAAAAGCATGAATGAAGGGACTGAGAATGTCATTTACTTTCAGTCTGAAGAAAATTGAAACTTAGCTTGTTAAAGATAAAAATGACGTTTTCATTTTAAAGCTGCGGCCTATTGATAATTTCCAGAGATAATTTGAAGGCTTTCAGTCACTAATTGCTGAAAAAAAAAATTTACTGAAGACCGTAGAAAACTGAATACAAATGGTTCTGAAGAAGCTTAAATGTACAGAGATGAAAGAAAATTTAATTTATCAAAAACTGAGCTGAAGAAATTTTCAGTGGCCCAAAAGATTACTTTTCCTTCTGCAGACTATTTCAGAAGATTAATGAAGACAAGTATCTACCTGATAAAGGTACGATGCAAGGTCTAGGGCAGTCTGGGGAGCCAAAATTGAAAGCTGAGTTATCTTATTCACAGTTTTCTGATGAGTGGAAAATTACTTAAAGGTCATTGAACAGTTAAAAGAATGATCCGGAAGGGATGATTTGGTTGTCCAGATGTACATTTGTGATTTATTAAGCATGGTTATGAAGAACGGCATGACTGGATGAACCAAGACCAATTTGGAAGCTTTATATGATGGACTGGAAGCTAAACTGAGAGCTTTGAATACCTTAGGAAGAATGAAAGAAAAGACTGGAGATTTTCTAATTCCATAAGGAAAGCCACCTCCCATAAGGAGTTCTGCTTATATGGGTAAGAAGAAATTCTTTAAAATTTCCAAATTTCTTTAAAACTGATGAATTTTCTTTTCCAAATTTCAAGGCAAAGAAATATTGTCACTAGCAAGAACTCGGTTTAGTTCTCACCTTAACTTTGAAAGGAAGAGCTCTGTTTCTGAAAAAACAAAGCAAACTGAACTTGAGATGGTTCCTGCATAAAACCTTGACAAAAATACAGGTATGCAACCTAACTGCATATTTTGCGGTAAGTTCCATCCCAGTGAAAGATGTTTTAAAGAAAGAAAAATGACATTAAGTGATTTTAAAATGTTATTATTAAAGGAAGGTGATGTTTTTCATGGCTTTAAAAAGCAGGTCATTTAAGCAAATTTTATTACGTTAAAAATCAAAAAAACTGTTCTT